CACACACAGCTGTTATTATCTGAGGGGAACAGAAAAGCATCATTAATCAGTCAACAACAGTCTTATTTATTATTGGCAGGTCCTGAGTAGAGAGAGTCTGACTGGACGTTGTTACTGGGAGGTGGAGTGGAGAGGGGGAGGAGTTTATGTAGCAGTCGCATACAAGAATATCATCAGAGCAGAGTGGTCAGATGAATGGTTATTTGGATTCAATAGTAAATGTTGGGCGTTTTATTGTTACACAAACATAAATGTTGGTACAAATATGTCCAAACTCCCGTCTCAGGTCCTCGGTCCTCTAAAACCATGACTCTCCCCCACAGAGTCCAGACCACATTCACTCCGCCTCTCTATGCTGGACTTGGGCTTTATTATTCTTCTGGATCCTCTGCTGAGTTCTGTAAAGTCAAATAGTCAGAAGTAAGTTTTAATCCTTAAACTTATTTTGTCTTCATGTTTGTTGCTGAGAGCTGATTGTTGTGACATTTCTTCACTGCACCGAGAGCACCTGCAAATCAAACATTCTGGGCGGCACTTTGACATATTCTCATTAGTTGCTGTGTAGTTTCATTTGATCACTTCTCATGATGACTGCTGTTTACCTGAACTGACATTTCTCTGCATGAAAATGGAATCTGTACTTCAGACTTCACTGATGGGATGTATAAACAAATATGATGAATAAACAAATATGAACAAAGTCTTTTCTTGTATCATACAGAGCTGATGGAGAACATGTGAAACTAATCTGAGAGTATAACTGAGGCAGTTTTCCTCCTGAAACACCACAAAGTACAGAGTTCATGTTTAGAGCAGAAGAGCATTTGTCAGTCAGTTTCTTCCTTTCCTCACTAAAACAACTTTGTCACAGAGAGATAAGCAGAGGTTTCTGTCACTTGTTGCTTTTTACAACCAACATTTTGTTTGTGCACTTAGTTAATAAAGAGGATTTATTACACCGACTTAAAAACAAAGTGGAAAAACCGTGAGAATTCATTTGATCAAGTTCGGGTGTGAAGAAGTTTTAGTTGAGTTCCGACACAAGACAACAGATACTGTGTTGTTGTGGACTCAACACAATATCTTGTTGTATTGATTTTCATGAAGGTGAAACTTCAGAATGAGGCTGTCATGTTATTTCAGTGTTTAGCTCTGTCACCTCACAGCCAGACCATCCTGGGTTGGAAAGTTTGAATCCAGACTTGATTCAAACTTATCTTCTTTTTGTCCAGGGTGGAATCTGTCAGTGCACAAAATTCTAATTGATCCTCAATTGGCAACAAAGAAATGCATCTAAAGCAGTCACCATTAGGGTTCCTGACAACTGGGATTGATTTATTGCACCATCTCAGGTAAAGTTACTCCACCTTTTCCAGCAGAGAAGTACTAAGCATCGATGGCAAAGTCATATTTCTGAGTTTCTTTCCTGTAAATCAACTATCAAACTATTTTAAACACAGCCTCCTGTATTACTGTAGCTTCTAATGTGACGAAAAAAGCACTCTGGGTTGTCGCTCCACATTTACATTCGGCACCCAGGGAGCTCATTCCATGAAAAAATCCATTTTAGTCAAAAGTGAGAGCAGGTGTGAGCTGGAAGAAGTGCTTTACTGAGTGGAAGTGAAGCTGCAGCTAACTGAGGGGGAAACTGCAAGTCTTGTGAGGAGAAAAAGCAGCAGGCAGGTGTCTCTGTGCTGATTTCACACATTAATGTCCCAGTGGTACCTGAAGGCAACAGTCTGACATCTGTCTGTTGATTTAGTCCCAAAGTAGAATGTGGTAATAAAATGTTGTCTTATAAATCAGCTGTGATGATGAAAACATGCTAAACTTACTGCTAACATTACTACACCTACTGCATTACTGCAGATACTTATTATTCCAGTAACAATGATCAATATGATGGATTTAATAATATATATAGAAGTCTAAGATTTGAACAGCAATATCGCACAAATAAATATAATGAAGCTCAGTTTTGAGGATTTAAAGGACATGATGACAGACTGAGACAGTTGCTGTAGTTTCCCAGCATGCTTTCTGTTATGTTGCTGCTGTTTCAGGTGTGTTTGACTGGCATCTGGTCCGTGTGTCCGTCTTCAGGACTGGAGGATTCACGTGGACCAGATGCATCAACACAGATGGAAAGTCCTCGCTCAAAGAGACCAAGGTGCGTTCACTGACCTGGTTCAATAAAAACAGCAATGATGGCTGTGTGTGTCTCTGGCTCCACCTGCTGTTTCTTATTTCAATTACAGAGGACAATCTACACCGAAGACCTTTTTAATCTTTACCTTCACTACGATGAGTCTCTGCTGTGTGAAACCTTCTTTACAACATACAGAACTGATGTGGCAAGATACTGCAGTACTACTTCTTGTGAAACATTATCAGTAAGCTGCACCAAGTATTAATGTTTTCATTGCACACATGCTCTAAATTAACTCCCTGCATTAAGCCTGTCTCCATTTCAGTGTTGTTCCTGTGAGAAACGATATTTTATTGAGCTGCTTTCTTTTGGTTGAAATGTCAAATAGAGTTGAACTTGAACTTGAATGGAAGGTAACTGAAGATGAAAAAGAGAGTGAGTTATCCAGAAAGCAGGAACATTCAAACTGTAGAGGCATTGTTGTCTTTAAAGTCGAAAGTCTGTGTCCAAATGAACGACTCTGATGGAACAGACGATGCGAGCTGTGAGAACTTATGACAAATAACTCAGGTGAGACAGTGAATGTGCACAGTCCACTCGTTTGTCTTCTCCCTGATCGTTTGGGGAAAACAGTTGATGTTACATCACCACACTTGTCAGCCTGCACCATCATTAGATCCTTCTGTTCAGCTTCATTTGCTCAGTTTTGACTTCTCTGTGATTATTTCCAGCTCAGCTTCCCTCACCTCCTCCACAGAGAGAAAAACAGGGAATGCATCCTTGATGCTCTGCAGCTCTTCCTCCAGAACATCCTCCTCTTGTCTCTCATCTGACTCTGCGTGAGCAAGCAGAGCACTGAGCTCATTTCTCTTCTTGTAGAGACTACAGAACACCTTCTTGAATCTAAGATCTTTTCAGTTGATTCCAGGACGAGGCAGACTTGATAAATTGAATCAGTTTCTTCATTGGCACAAACAGCATTAGCCAAGATATCTGTTGTGACCTCAGGATCATTTTGTTCTGGTGGTTCTCTCAAACCATCTGGACTTGCAAAGCCAAAACACAGCGTTGGAGAATAATGTTACAATCCAACTAAATGGTTTTTCTACCAGGGCAGTAAAAGTTTAGCTGACTTATTTAAGCTTCCATGCTGTAGGCTACCGTTTTATTGCTAAATAATGATCAGCTGATTGTTTCACGAACGTAAGCAGCACATTTTTGTGCCCACTTATCAAAGCCAAAACACAGGCTGGAGAATAACGTTAATGAAATGAATCCAACTACATATTTCACAACATTGACATGTATGTTCCCCTTCCCAGCTTAGTAAGATGGACTGGAGCAAGAGTTCCAGACTGGTGTTTAGCTTCACAGTTCCTGCTACTACTTCCTATGGTTGCTAACCTCACCTCTCTAAATGGCAAGGTCACTGCGAGCACATGGTGTGTAGGGCAAAACACATCAGGGTATGCACATCCAAATATATCACGCACAAGTCTCAAAACTCTGGAAATTACTATTACTATATTTATTATAAAAAGACAGGTACTTTATAATACACATTGTACTTACTTATTGCAAAAGGTGCATCTTGCACATATAAACCAACTTCCTTATCCTGTAACATAAGTTTGAATGAGACATTACTAAAGGTGCTTGTACAGCTACCCCTTGGACCACTTGTCCACACCGCTTTTCCTTCCATCGTCGTCTCTGTTGTCCATACCCATAACCATAATCCATGCACCCACCGCCAAGACTTGAGATGCCCCTCTCACACACAGGTATGACGGCTCCCCTCCCCTCACATTCAGAGATCCTGGGACAAGTTACGTCCTTTTACAGTCATTCTGGGTGACAGAAATAGTGAAGGTGGCAGGTCCGGTCAGACCTACTGAGTTTTACATTTGAGGCTAATTTGCGCTGCATATTCTGCATTAAAGATGAGGTATTTGCAGTAAACCTTATCTCTTAAGCTACACAATATTATACTTTTGTTGTAGTTACAGAACAGCAGAAAGTAGTGCGATTCATCTACAATATCTTTTCCAAATGTTGCTATCAAGAATTGCAGTAATCACGCATTTTCATGGTTTGGACCCTCCAGGAGCCAGCACCTGATGATCAAAAGCAGACTGGCCTACAACGACGCCTGTATCTATGGAGTGGTGGCAGAAGGAAAAGGAGAGACAGATTTTGGCGAGCCAAGAGGAAGAACTGGCCTGCAGGCTGAAGCTGAGTGGTCTGCTGAGCATTGCTGATGACTTATGAACTTCTTTTTAACAAATGATTCTGCAGCTGTGCACTAAGGACAAACAAGTGTTCTGCCTGGAGCAAAAGACTCCTTTGCTTTATTTGCTGAGCTCATACTGAGTTCACCCTGTTGTCTTTTTAGATTGATTGATTGCAACAGAGTGTGTCTTGTTTAGTTTTTTTTATATTACAGTCTGGGTTTGTACAATAGGAAAAGAAAATCAAGATTCTTACTCTTGGTTTAATATTGTAGTTTAGTGTTTAACAGTGTGTTTTATTTTACTGTTGAGTTATAGAATCGTCTGAAAGTTAAACATTGAATGAAAGTATTTTAAAGTAAACTTACCACTTAGCCCAGTTTTCATTCAGTAGTTAACAGGCTCCTGCATGGGGTCATCATAATCGATGTGTGAGCACATGTGTTGTGTTTGTCCTAGGAGCGATCTGATTGGAGGGCCCCATGGTAGACCCGCCCACTTCTCCGCCCAAACGGTTGGTGATTGGACAGCCGAGTCTCTGCTCATGTCTCTCCATGTAGTGAACTCCTCGGACGGCACGGCGAGGTGCTCTGGGAAATGAAGTCTGAATTGTGCTGAACAATGAGCTGTACTTTAGTAGAAACACTACATTTCCCATGAATGAAGCAGAAGAGGCAGATCCTTCAGAGCATCTGAAAAGAAATTCGTTCGTATGGTTCAGCGGAGGATTCAACTCTTTTCTGTCAATCACAGACATGACTGAGGGAACGTGAGTATTTTGTTCTATTTAACGGAAAGTTTCGCCGAAATAATGAGGTTAAAGCGATGGGAGGTGATAAAAAGTTTGAGTCAAAATGGCTGAACTAAACTGTAACGTTAGTTTAAACAGTTGTGCCAGATGTGATGTTATCACTGTCAGAACTGGTTTCTCGTTTATGAGTCTAGTGATTGGTACTATTTAAGCCTCTTTCTCAGGATGAGAGACCAGTGTAAGGACATTATGTCAGGTGGGAAATATGTGGGCCTGTCCAAATTTGGGACAGCTGGGTCATGAGAGGGACTGAACTTTCAGCTGGTAAAGCTTTGAGATGGACAACCTGTAACAAAATGCCTTTATTGAAACGAAATCCACTGTCATGGAGACCTGAAGCAGAAACTGCCTTATTGTGGACAGGCTACACATACAGGGAATTTGATCTTGACTTTTTTTGTTGTCGCTCTCACTGTATTTAGAAATACAACTAAGAAACAAGGACAATAAAGGTAAACAAACAGGATTAGCTATTATGTACATACAAGTTGGTGAAATACTATGAATAAAAATAAAAATGTATGTATGTATGTATGTATGTATGTAAAAGTAACCATACAACAATGAACAACAACATATAAAAAGTATATACAAGGCAGAATGATTCTGTATATTGTAAACAAGAATACAATAGTGCAGAGTGCAGATATTGCTGGAATAGCCTAAACATCAAATGATTAATGTAACAGGTTGCTTTTATATGTAGGTGTAGTTGGATATGCACAGCATATGCATATATACATGTGAACACATTGATATGTATGTTAAAATAGCCACGTATGTCATCTAAAAATATATAAAAAATACCACTGATGTTAACTGTTCAGAGTAATGGCCTGTAAGAAGAAACGGTTTTTGTGGTTCTTCTGGCGTAGCCTACAGTGGCCTTATAGCACCTACCAGTGGGGAAAAGTTGGAACAGGTTGTGTCCAGGGTGTAACGGTCTGCAGTGATGGTTCCAGCCCGTTTCCTGACTCTGGACATGTATATGTCCTGAATGGAGGGCCATATGGCGCCAGTGATTTTCTCTGCAGTCCTGATTGTCCATTGTAGTCTGCTCCTGTCTTGTTTGGTGGCCGATCCGAACCAGACTGTGGTGGATGTGCAGAGGACAGACCCGATATTTGTATTTTGATCAGAACTGGATCAGCAGCTTCTTTGGCAAATTGAGCTGACGCAGGAAGTACATCCTGGGCTGGGCCTTTGATGACTTTGTCGATTTGATGTTGAATGCCTACTTTAGGTCTCAGAAACCTGAAGGCTTACACAGCAGACACAGTGCACAGGATGATGATGGAGGTTAGTTAGTAGTTTGTGAGATTTTATGGTAGCCTACGTATACTGCGAAATATGATACGTTCAAGAATCCAATAGTATACTGAATAATCAGATGATCTAACATTGGAAAACTTGCTGTGTCTGCCAGGCACCTGCGGAGGCGAGGCGGGCCGTACAGGACAGAGCCAGCCACAGACATGAGCCGCTGGAGGCTGACGAATGTCGAGGGCAGGCAGACCTGGCGCTATGTGGAAGATCAGGACAGCCCAGACAGGGAGCAGACCATGCTGGAAGCCCATTCTCTAGGCTTGGACACGGTAGGTTTTGCTTCAAATGGCCAAAAAAATCACCTGGCTTGTGATCGTTGCTTATTCACGCTCTGGGTTCATTTGAGATGACTGTATAATACATGCTAAACAATGGAGTGTGTAGTGACTATAAAGTGAATAGTGAAAGATTTTAGTTGTAGCCCTGGATATGTCTTATATATTCTTATATATAAACATAGATAGAATAGATATTTTTAGTTGTGTGGCTGGTAAACCCCTGAAATGTCTAACATTTGTCTGGTGTTCATTTCTAATCACCAATTCTCTCCACAGAGTAAGTTTGTGCCTGGCTCTCCAGCTGTCCACACAGCTGTAGATGCAGCTCTGAAAGGTATGCACTTCTACAGCCACCTCCAGGCTGAGGACGGTCACTGGGCAGGGGACTACGGCGGACCCCTCTTCCTGCTCCCAGGTAAAGCCAAATCCTTCCCGTCTGTGTCTTTTATATATCTGACACCTGTAAATGCACTCTGCTCTAATCAGGTGACATCAGGTGAAACGATGGACCACATTTTGCAAAAGAAATCACCTCTCGTCACCGTGTGGAGATCAGTGTGCAAAGTTGGCTAAGTGCAGCAGCTGAAAAGCGGTGTTGGATTTTTGTTTTCGATTTGTGCATAGTTTTTAATGAAAGCTCAACAGCGTATCAGCCATCTTCAACCATAATTTACATCTGTTTGCTAAATTTGATTGATAAAGGTGGTGTGGGAAAACAGATGATGGTGAAAAGAGGACTTGCAGGCGGGGCTGTTACACTAAACAGACAAGGGATCAGTTGGCACATGTGCGTCTGTGTCTCACTGCATGGGTGTCCGTTTCTGTGCTTCAGGGCTCCTGATCACATGCCATGTGGCTAAGATCCCTCTGGCCGAGGCCTGGAAGAAAGAGATGGTGAGGTACCTGCGCTCCGTCCAGCTGCCAGACGGAGGCTGGGGTCTGTAAGTCAACCGCACACTTTTTTTGTCTTTTGATATCCACGCATGTCATATCACTAATGTGCTTCTACTGTAAGAGGAGTTCATGTCTTTAGTACTTCTGAGTAAGGTCACTGTAACAGGCAAGACGTACGGTTTGCAAAGTATCATTTCAGCAAAGGCAACCTCCAAACATGGAAAAATGTCCATACCTCTGACAGCTGTACAAGCATAATTTTGTCATCATCATATTCCAGAAATGATAGGGTCTGTGTTTTTAGTCAGATGTAATGTAATGATAGAAGCATCTACTACTACAGGAAGACTGGTGTAGTACTTAGTAGACGTGTCCATTCTTCCCCACTGAAATAATTACAGGAGAGACATCCTAAAACTCAAAGGGTAAGACTGTCTGGAATATTGATTGTGGCAGCATAGTGGATGTATTTTGTTTTTCTTCAGACATATTGAAGATAAGTCTACCGTCTTTGGCACAGCGCTGAGCTACACCTCATTAAGGATCCTGGGAGTAGATCCTGATGATCCAGATGTGGTTCGAGCCAGGAATAACCTGCACAGCAAAGGTGGGAAGGAACAAATTAAATCTGCAGTCAGTCACACGCAGTAATATATACTGATAGAAATAGCGCTGATTACTGATCATCTTTGTGTACTGAGAGCACACAGGTATCCAAACACACTGCCATCCCAAAACGTCCAAATCTGAAAACAGTTTTTATGGGGAATATGTTACCCCTTTGTGTTTCGTAAAGGCATATTTCTTGTAAATTAAAAAGGTGATGTGAGCTATAGTCAGTGCTTATCGCAATAAACATGTCAGTTATTTGTGGCTTCATACTATAGCTGTCTGTGTTTTTTGTGTTTGTATAGGCGGCGCTGTGGGGATTCCCTCATGGGGTAAATTCTGGTTGGCCATTTTAAATGTCTACAGTTGGGAGGGAATGAACACACTGCTACCAGAGATGTGGTAAGTTGGACGTTCTTCCATCCCATCCCAACATCCCATTTTGTCCTCTTCTACCCATCAGTCATGCTTGTTATACAGTATTCTCAGGGGGCTTAATTGATGTAACAGGGAAAGGTAAGACAGGTCTAGAGTCATTAGCTGACCCCCACAAGACCTTCCAGCTCTAGTTATTTCTCTCATGTAATTGTCCTTGTTGGGGAGACGACAGTTAGACTGATAAGGTAGAAGCAGTAGCTCAGGCGTCAGGCTGGCAGATATCAGTGTTTACAAGAACTCACTGGCTCCACGGATTAGAGTACAACTCATGGATAGAATAGATTCTAATATGACGAAGTCTAAACATCAGAAAGATGACCTAATAGAGAAACCTACAGGCACTAGGGGGAAGACAGAAACATAAAAGGGACCAAAAGATTTGATCCTTCAGATTTGTTGTTGTTGTTGACGTGTTCACATGTTGCATGCTGGCACTGTATCTCCTCAGCCGGGCCCAGTCAACCATGCTTTGTTAAGTCTTCATCAGTCTCTGAAACTTTTTCATCACACCTCAACCTGGCTCACAATATTTCTTTAACAATGCTTTAAGTAACGTTACACCTAAAAAGCTTAAGGATCTCAGTGGGATTACTTTAACTTTTGTACCTCATGATGATATTAGGATGAAACTGTGATCGCTTTTGTCTTGCACTTTCTCTCAATGAACTTTCTGTAGGTGGCGCTCTATTCTTTGTTTGTTCTGCCATGGTGGCTATTGCTGCTCATGCTGACAAGGAAAATGAGAGGTTGCCTGCACACTGCAAGCTGCAATCTCCCAGGAGGCACGTTTCAGCCAGCAGTGTCTTCATCAGACAAACATCCATGTGTACAAAAAGCTCCCAACTGAACATCCTCCTCAGCTTTTTCATTCTATGTTTTTTTTTCCCTACACTTGTACTCAACTCAATGCTTGGATGTGCACACTATCCACTATCTTAGCTTGTTCATGATAACCGCCCACTTCTATCTTCCTTGCAAACTGCTGGTGCTGCAGCTGGAACTGTAAATGGTATCACTGCCTAGTGCAGAAAGTTTTAAGACCAGACATCAAATGTTTAGAACAGTACCTTTAAAAAAGTTTCCAGTAACCAGCTATGAGGTCACCGAGCTCCGGACCTCCGTAATTATATGTAGGCCTATTAATAAAAAACACAATCAACACTATCAACTTAAATGAAGGCTTTAGAACCATGCAGGTGCAGCTGATTATTCCAGAGCAAGCCGATTATTCCAGAGCAAGCCTCTTTTCCCCAGTGTCAGACCTGGGGAAACTGAGAGCTCCTCTGTTTGCGGGCTTGCGGGCGAGTTTTAGCCCGTACGTTTTGTGAATTTCAGGGTGAGTGAAATAGGATGAAGCGTCTCCCCAATAAGAGAGTGTAAGAGAGAGTCAGAATGTAATGTTAAGTAATGTGCTGTGTTCTTCTCCACATCCACAAACTATCACACACACAGTCCAGGTTCATCCAGTGAAACTGTTTGGAGTAAAGCAGTCATCCTCTTGATAAATTCTGAGCTCCATAAGAGCATCTCAACATTTCACAGGCAGCAAGTTGACTTCTGTTTCCTTTGTCCTGCCCTGTTAAATTTTTAACTACAGGTTTTTGTTTTTGCTGCATAAATGTCCCACGGTATTGGCTGTGACCTAACTGTGCGCATGGAAATGCTTAAATGGCCGACAGCAGCCTCTCTAATCATTAAAATACATCGTCAAAGAAAACACTTTTCAATTCAACACAAAAAAGAAACCACCTGGAAAGCTACAAGGGCCAGTAGAGGTGGGGTAAATATGAGATTCATTTAGCCTAATGCATGTTGTGAAGATTAGTATATCCAGATTTTGCACTACCTGAGCTTGTGTGTCTGCGTCTCTTATTTTATGCAATTTCAGTGAGCCAAGCAGTGGGGAGAAAGACCATGTCTGTAGTGTGAGCATCAACCAAACAGTGCTTTGTCCACTGCGCGTTTTAAGCCTTCACTGCGCTCACACATGCCCACATATTACCATAATTACCTATTACCAATTTTTTTTTTAAATGAAAATCCGGACCTCACTAATTTTAAACCCTGGATACGGCCCTGTCCTGAAGTGAGAACAGACTGAATCACTGTTGTTTATGTTATGTCAACTGGTATCACGGAGCATCTGTCTTTGCCACAGGGCAAACAGGACAGGAAATGTGTTTTTCTCTGTGTGAATTTGGGGGTTGACGGATGTATTTTTGTTTGTTCCAGGCTGTTCCCCACTTGGATGCCAGCCCACCCCTCTACCCTGTGGTGCCACTGCCGCCAGGTCTACCTCCCCATGAGTTATTGTTACGCTGTCAGACTGGCTGCAGAGGAAGACTCCCTGGTTCTCAGCCTCAGACAGGTGCTGGAACACAATAGGCGTGATAAGCTTTGAAGTTTGGCAGTTAGTTTGGTAGTGGGCAGTACGTTCCTGTCTTGTTGTTTGCTGTGATTAGAACATATCATATGTTCTAATATTAAGACATAATTAAAGTTCAGAGCTCCACCTAACAATTATTTTCACTTATCATTAATTTCAGTAAATCTGTCACCGATATTTCTTATCAGTTGATTGACTTTTAAGACTATGACATGTCAGAGAAAAAGTAAGAATGCCTCACAGGTTTTTAGAGTCCAAGGGGATGTCTGGAGATTACCCAAAGATGGGTTTCAAATAAGAGAAAAGCAGAAGCTAAACCAGCAAATGATTGGCATTCAATTCCACATCAAATGACTTAAATGTTGAATTGATTAGTAAAATTGTTGCCAATTACTTTTCTGTTGATTTCATTTATTTAATAATAATCAGTCAGATGCTGACAGAGTTAAAAGGCAAGAACATCTTTGTTCAGTCATAAGATTTCTTGAGTTAACACTACAACTGTAAAGTTTTCTACTGGAAAAATGTGCTGCCTTGGTAATTAACAAAGCATTGTTTAGGTTTTAAAAAGGTATTTAGTTAAAAATTACAGTACTTTTTTATCAAACCATTCAGTGATTCTGTGTCCTGTATGGAAGCATCTGCATTCATTATATTTCTCCACTCATTTATTCAGGAGTGGAATCTTTCTTTTGTGTGATCCAAGGGTGTCACTTTGAGTTGAAAAGTGGTGGGGACCTAAAGGCTCAGCTTAGGGGCATGATGACACAAGTGTGTCACAAGACTTGACGATGGTCAAAAACAAGATGAGGAGATTTTGTAGAAATAAGAAGATTTTGAGCATTAAACACTTAATTTCCTGCATTCTGGAGACATTTTCTGCTCCAATTCATGGTGGAAATGTCTTTATTTATATAAAGAGAAATTCAGCTGGCAGGTGACTATTAATAAATATTAAAATATTACAGAATATAATGCAGTAATCAGCAGCTTGGTTGTTTTTTTTTAGCTTAAATTACTTTTTTTGGACATTTGTTTCTTCTATATTTAAATTGCATTGCATGTTCTTATTGTGCAAATAAGCCTTTCTCAGAACATTTTCATTTGTTAGTTAACATTTCTTGCTGTAAGCTCTTTTTCAGAACAGTTTTAAGAAATGCTTACAAAAAGTGATGGCGACAAAATTAGCCATTTCAAAATTTTTAGACCACCTTTAAACTACGTAGAGGGAGCACCTAATGCAGTTTTTCTTTTATTTCAACAGTCTTGGACTGAACACCAAATCACAAACTATATTTATGCTTTTGCATAACCAAGTATTGTCATGTTCTTTGGATTCTAGGAGCTTTATGTCCAGGACTATGCAACCATTAACTGGCCTGATCAGAGGAACAACGTGGCAGCATGTGACATGTATACGCCTCACAGCACACTGCTCAATGTCGCTTACAGTAAGTATTCACACAGCACGCTGTGTGATAAATTACCATCTACAGAAGCATGTTGCTGTAAAACGGGCAGCACATACTGACCAATATCAACAAATGTTTTTTATCATGTTATTACTCGGGGTGTGACGAGATAAAAATGGGACAGTGTTTTTCTGGACATGTCAGAGAACACAGATATGTGGGAGAGATTCTGAATGTGCGGAAAGTTTTAAACAGAAAAGCTGCTGAAACACAGGAGCTGTTAAAGTGCAGGAGTTTCTAACTGAATTAAAATAAATTCATTTATTGTTGAGGTGAAAAGGTGCCACATGCACATTAGGGTATTTAAGTGTCCAGTATTTATTATATTTCCCCAAACAAAGACACTAGAGAGGAGGGAAGACTAGATCATGTCTGCGTGTGTGCTGACTAACTTAATGCTCAAAATGTTCATATATTTCATCATTGAAGAATTCTTAAAAAATAGTGTTAAAATCTTGCCTTGTCCCAATATCGTGACTCATCATTTAAGCTGTAAGTGTATTGTCACACCTCTAGTTATTAATTTTGAAATAGTTATGAAGCAATGCGCTCACCAACAGGAACTCAAGTGAGACATACTAAATAAAATAAAAACATTAAGCGTATCTTGGGCTACAGGATGTTTTTATGCAATCTCTGTGAATGACTCCCCTAACCTCGTGACTCTGTTTTGTCGCCCTGCAGTGGTGATGAATGTGTACGAAGCCCACCACAGCACCACACTGAGAGGAAGGGCTGTCAAAGAACTGTATGAACACATCCTGGCTGATGACTGCTTCACTAAATGTATCAGCATTGGACCGGTACTACATACAGAGACTAAAATCACAGATATCAATACGACAGAGAATGAACAGAGTTTGGCTACAACTTATTTCCATAGGTTTTTAAATCATCCAATTTAATCTGACCATGGAATAGAAAGAGAAGGTGTACACACAAAGTACTATTTCTCCTCAGATCTCCAAGACTATCAACATGCTGGTTCGCTGGTATGTGGATGGTCCCTCCTCTCCGGCCTTTCAGGAGCATGTGTCCAGGATCCCAGACTACCTCTGGTTAGTCAGCCGAGCTATATCAAAAACAAAACAAACTTTTTTTTTTTTCTTTTTTTCACTGATCAGAATTAGGTGTTCAGAAAAAACTCTTGTCAAGTACTTGCTGGATATTCTGACATATATTATAGTAGTATAATGTTGAAAACCGTTCAGTACTAATAAATCCTTAACCAAAGATGTGTAAGAAAGTATATAGCTGATAAACTGACAGTACATTCTGTGTTCCAGGTTGGGATTAGATGGCATGAAAATGCAGGTGAGAATTAGTTCTCTGCTCGTTTTGTATGTTGAGTGTTGCGTAAGTTGAGATGTAGTAGTAGTTTTGAAGCTATACAAAGTTGAATCGTAGGGTTGTCTCAAAGGCTCCCTAGAAAATTGATGTGTGGACTGAAAACTACCTTAAAACTAAATTAACTTTTCACCTTTATTCTTTTAGCCTACTTGCTGGTTTCATACTTACAGTTTGTACATATATTATGTCCTGCAATAAGAGCTTCATTACACTCAGTGAGTTCAAATTTACCTTAAGTGTTTGCCTACTTTGTCCTTTTTGTTGTGCACAGGGGACCAATGGATCTCAACTCTGGGATACTTGCTTTGCTGTACAGGCTTTCCTTGAGGTAACGCAAAAGTGGCAGCGCAATGTGCTGTATCAAGATGAAAGATCAAAACACTACATAACTGTCCTCCATTGTTGTTATTAATGCAAGCGAGCAAGTTCAGGATTTGTTCTTTCTTTCTGACTCTGGCTGCTGCAGTTTGTGTTAGCTGTAGTCGGCCAACAATCTTTTCAGGCAGACTAGTTAGGAGAGCTTTGCAGTAATACATCCAACAACAGATACTGTATATGTATGTACAAGTTATTCTGCGTCAGCCTGAGACAAAAAGAATGTGATTCTAGATATGTTTTTAAGATGATAAAAAGTTGTTGTTGTAATGTTTCACCCAGAATTCTGACTTGTCTATGATGCTGTTTTAGTTGTAGTTGAAGTAGAAAGGCAACAAGTAGCTGCAATATGTATTAACTGAAATACAGTGGACCCAATATTGAGCCCTGAGGGACCCCACATATGACATCAGCTTTCCAATATGTAAAAGTCCCAATAGCAAATTGTTGTCCTCAGATAAGATGTGAAACAGGCAACAAACAAGAAGAAAGAGTATCATCTAGCTGGTTACAATATGGTGTTTGTTGGGGTCTTTCAGGCAAGAGCCCAGGATAACCCAAGGCTAGCCAAGTGCCTCCGAGATGCCCATCAGTTTCTCACCATCACACAGGTACCTCCAACATCTCAGTTACACGGTTTTCATTATCTTGCAGGAATAAAACACATATCTTAATATTCTACTGGTTTAAAGTGTTTGGCAGTGTTTTTTAATCAGTACTGAAAACAGCCAGGTGTGCTACAGATCAGAACAGTGAAATCTGAACTGCTTTGATAAAAGGGATTTCTTATGCCTGACTTTTCGACTCTAACAGATACCTGAGAATCCTCCCGAGTACCAGAAGTACTACAGACAAATGAACAAGGTGAAACTGATATCACACAACAGGCACAAATATTGTTGAATAAACGGACAAATATTGTTGAAAAAATGGATCAAATGCCTTTGGAAGGCATTGAAAGGAAGCTGTTCTTTTTTTGTCAGGGAGGTTTCCCCTTCAGCACCCGTGACTGTGGTTGGATCGTGGCTGACTGCACAGCGGAGGGCCTGAAGTCAGTGATGCTGCTGCATGAGCTCTGTCCCTCCATTGGCCAGCCTGTCTCCTCAGAGCGCCTATATGATGCTGTCCAAGTGGTGAGTCTGCAGTGAGTAAAGGACTGGAAGACTAATTGACCTTTTTTGAACTTTTGTACTCCCATGACTAATTTCTTTCTCCTTCTACACATGTGCTTCTGCTACTTTAGTCTTTCAACATTACAGCTCTTTCCCCATGTGTCTGTCTTCTCCTTGTAGCTCCTGAGCATGAGAAACTCTGACGGTGGATTTGCCACATATGAAACTAAGAGAGGAGGGAAACTCCTGGAGCTGCTTAACCCCTCTGAGGTGTTTGGTAGGTCTGGTACCAACATCATACTGCCTACACCCTTTTATAGCACTTCACTGCCAGATATGTTCATTCTGAATTGATTTCTTGGTATCACAGAAATATTCATTTTATAATAACATCATATCAGTTGGTTGTTGATTGTACCTGACCTCAGTTCACTGCCAGCAGTGTTATTCAACCTGCACATGCAGATGTTAAAAAGAAAAACAATGAGCAGATATCAACATGACATTCCTTTCTCCTATCAACATTCAAAGGCTGCAAAATGCAATATTATGACCTTTTCAATATCAAAGGGCAAATAGCCTAATAATGACATGTTTCCCTGTTAAAAACAGAATGCAGTATTTGTTGTTAATTGTGATGTGATATTAGTAACCCTGTATCGCTCTATCCCTCACAAACAGGTGACATCATGATAGATTATACCTATGTGGAGTGTACCTCAGCAGTAATGCAGGCTCTGAGGCACTTCCAGAGGGCCTACCCTGAACACCGTGCTGAGGAGATAAGGTACACTACACACGCACACATTTATTTCTGCACACATATTGGTTAGAATTACTGAATGACACAAACGGCTGACCAATCTGATGGAATAATTAAAACATGAATTACCCTCAACAAATTTCAAACTGAAGTGGCTTTAATGTATGTCCTAAGTTTATATTTGTTGTCACCCTGAGTGTTGCATTTAGTCTGATTTTTTTTTTTTTTAAAGACATGAAGGCAGAGCAATTCACAAAAAACAGCTGACACACAAAGGCTTGACAGTCGGGGGGGGGGGGGGTATTTTAAACTCTTCAGGGAAGAGGGGAAGGTTTTCTGTTTATGGGTTTGTTGATTCCTTTTCCAGCTCGACTCTACGAGACGGGCTGGAGTACTGCAGGAGGGTGCAGAGGCCTGACGGATCCTGGGAAGGGTGAGACTACACTTGCTTTTTAAATATCTGATATCCTACCTAATGGACAGCTCATGTTAAATTAAAAATACTCCTTTTGTGCTTGTGCTCAGGTCCTGGGGAGTGTGCTTCACATATGGAACATGGTTTGGCCTTGAAGCCTTTGCGTGTATGGGGCACGTCTACAAGGACGAGTAAGAGTTCCAAAGACAGACATTACACCATGTACTCCTTAACATGCCAAACCACACAGGACATCCATGGACCCCTAGCTTACATACTTAATTACATTGCTGTGCCTCTGTTAACAGGTATGTGTGTGCGGAGGTGCAGAAAGCGTGTCAGTTCCTGTTGGACATGCAGATGTCAGATGGAGGCTGGGGGGAGGACTTTGAGTCATGCGAGTACCGGCGCTACATCCAGAGCAGCACGGCTCAGATCCACAACACCTGCTGGGCTTTGTTGGGCCTCATGGCTGTCAGGTAAAACCGTGTTCAGCTCAGAAGCTTGGCATTTGTGCTACATTACAATGAGACCTGAGAGAACTGCTGTTGCAAAATAGCATAGGTGGTCTAGGTTAGAATGAAGCTCTCCTGTTGATTTTAGTTGTGTCATGAATTTATGTCTTTAGTTGCTGTTGCCTTTGATTGCATGCATGCATACAATGCTGTGTTTCATGTTTCTGTACACACGACTACAAAAGGAACTTCCAGTTGTTGACTTGAACACTGTGTACATACCCAGGCATCCTGACAAGGGGGCCATTGAGAAAGGAGTACAGCTGCTGATTGACAAGCAGCTGCCTAACGGTGACTGGCCACAGGTAAGTCTCATATATTTTATTAATACCATGTCTTATACTCTAATTAGGCTTACTTTAAACTACCATTATTACAACAAAAACAAATGAGTCCAATAGCAGTAAAATATATAATGTGAGCTTTGACATGTGTTGTTCTGTTCTTCCCCTCCTCAGGAGAATATTGCAGGTGTGTTCAACAAGAGCTGTGCTATAAGCTACACCTCCTACAGAAACATCTTCCCAGTCTGGACCCTTGGCCGCTTCTCAACACTTTACCCCAGCAGTGCATTGGCTGGGAAGATCAAGCTGTGAAGACCTTTAAAAGGTCATAGTTCATCTGACTATCTTCCAGGACGAAGAAACATAATGTCTTCAACAGCATTCAGACAATAAATGGAAAGTGTATATTCTTTTGTGGGTGACATATTTTCTGACACGACCACAACTGTCCTGACGGATTATCAAGTGTTAATTCAGCCTTCAAATGATGCATCATTTCTGTGTCTGTGTGTAGCTACACTATGGACAAATTAACACTTCATCTGTGTTGAATCCATCAGATAAAGTAACGCATTTTATTCTTAGAATTTTATTTCTATGTTGACATACCAGGATGACTCCTCCACCAGAGCTTATCTTTACAGATCTGTTGTGATAATCTGCTGCTATCCAAGACGCCCAGTTAATGCTGGTCTGGTTTATAAATTGTATAAAAGCATTTATGTCCATGTTGCCTTATATCCCTGTCCCTTACTTAACATGTCCATTTATAATGAATAATTTTTCGTTGGTGTTATCATGACTGAATGTGTATTTGATGAATGTACTTTACATTGGTTGGTGCTCTGGCAAATATCAAACAGAGAGCACATATGGAAATTGACCTTCACAGGGTGAACATATTAACTGCCTTTGAAACACTCAGTGAACAACCAGTGACGACCCATGATGGTTTAACCTTTATCAGAGTGAGAAAGTTGGCAAAGCAGACACATTTTTTCACAGCCTGCACCACCTCCACTGCACATAGCAACACGTATTGGTATTAGTTTTACTGTTGTGTTCTTTTTTTTTACACCTCTGCATCGGCAAAAAGATATCTGCAAACTCTGCTGACTGCCATAATCCATCAGTCTCTGAAACAACTTATTTTGTAAGTGGCGCTAAAAATGTCGTTGTGATTGATATTTGGAGATGTTTTATTGACTAAAAGATCTTTTCAGTCATAGCAACCATGTTTGAAAACAGGCATACAAGACAAAACTAACTGGTTAAGCCAGTGCTTTCTACTGTTTGTACAGAGTTAAGCATGGCCAGATGCTGATAAGGAAGCCGGTTTTATTCACCTCCTCCACCTTTTCCACTGGCGGAGGACAGATAAAAATCTACACATATATTCAAATGTTCCTGCACCTGGCGGCTGTTCCAGTGTACCAATGTGTGTGAATGATAGATTCTGTTTGAGCACATAGGCTCAGTGTGTAAAAGCGCTTTGAGTGGTCAAAAAAGGCTAGAAAGGCGCAATACAAATACGGAGCATTTACATCATGTGACACTTCATCTAATAAAAATAACACCACTGAACTGGATTACTGGCAGTCAGACCAAACTACTTACATTCACCAGGTTAAAAAGAAAGCAGTGGCTAGTGCTCATTACATTTTTCAGCTACACAGAGCACATCAGTGTATATATATAAACTTTGCGGTACACAGAACATGTTGCAAATCAACAACAGTTCATTTGGTTGCTAGATGGCATTGCCCTGGCCTCCAGCTCCACCATACGGAATCTCTAAATTATCTTTGATTAGCCTGTGTCATTTAACAATCACATTAAACAAACTTCAAGTACTGCCTTTTTCACCTACTAATTACAAATATCAGGCATATCCTGTCTCAAAACGATGCAGAAAAACTAGCTCTCCATTTGTTTTTTCTAGGCTGGGTTATTGCAGTTCCTTATTATCAGGCTGCCCAAATAAGTGTACTTACAAGAACTAGGAAAATACATAAAGTTTCTCCCATATTCGCTTCTCTGCATTGACTCCCTGTAAAATCCAGAATATAATTTAAAATCCTCCTCCTCATTTACAAAGCCCCTAATGGTCAGGCATCATCATTTCTGAAAGAGCTCATAGTGTCTCATTATGCCACTAGAACACTGTTCTCCCAGCATGTAGGGGTTACTTGTGTATGTGTATAGCATAATGTTTTCACTTGTGAAATCAGCTCTAAGACTGACACTTAAGATTTAGTCCAACACTTCACTTAAATTAGGACTGAGATGCTTGATAACTAACTTTTAAGCACAGCTTTGGGCAAAGATTTTTTTTTTACTCTTAAGTCAATTCTTAGCAGTGTTCTTATGAGTAATTCTGAACAGCGTAACAAATACGGTCCCTGAACCCTTATCCCTTATGCTGCTACAGGCCTAGACTACCTGGAGACTTCCCAGGATGCACTGAGCTTCTCTCTCCTCTCCTCCCTTTCCATCTGTATGCATTCTTATCACTTTAATGTATGTTACTAACTCCACTAAGTTTTGTGCTTACTCGTTTCTCTCCTTTGTCCTTCAGTGGTTTTCTGCAGGTGTTTTTATTGATATTTGAATAATTACCATTATTGTTTTACATCTCTATGTGGAGCTTGCATTGTGCTACTGTGTTGTATTTCCTTCCGCACTCTCTGACTCTACCTTGACTAGATTCGATATTTTATTTTTGACCTAAGACTTGAATCCCACAAATTTTGACCTGAGAATCGAGACTCCTTTAAGACCTGACTTGACTTGACTTGAAATGTGACCCTAAAGATCTGATTTTAGACCCATACTTGACTCCCTATAGACTTCACTTGAAACTTGAGATATGACTCCGTAATGACTTGATTTTAGACTCCACCCCCTAAACACTTCACTTAAGTCTAACAGTTTGAGAAGTGACTTGACCTGAGACTTTTTCCGTTAATACTTGACCAGAGACTTTACTCCCTAAACACTTGACTCTAAACCTGAGATGTGACCCCCTAAACACTTGACCTGACTTGTCAGCGACCACGTCCACATCGCCCTCCAGAGTACTTCACAGGAGGGGAAACAGACACGCAGGCAGGCAGGACGCCAGCCGCCGAGGCACTAGCTGGCACAGGGGCAGACAGAAGGAGGAGGCTAGCAGGCCGGGAATCAGGCATGTGGAGGCTAGCACGCCGGAGCTCAGGGCCAGTGGGCCGGGAAACAGGCAGGTGGCTAGCCAGCTGAGGGACTGAGGTTTGGAAAAAGCTTGAGAGAGACAAGGATCTGACAAACAATGAACAAGCACTCAGTGAAGGAAGCAAACCACTTAAATACAGTGAGGAAGAAACTAATCATACAAAGGTGAAAACACTAAATCAGAGAGACCACAACCACAGGAAGTAAAACACAACAATGACACTGAAGGCAGGCATCTACAAACTAAAACAGGAAACACTCAAAACCCACACCCACCACACCAGAACTGTAACATCTTTTCAAACCACCATACTATCTGTAATAATGTGCAATACTGATTTCCTTTTGATTGTTGATGTCTTACTTTTACTTTTTTGTTTGTTTTTTGATGCACTTTTAATAATGCTATGTATTATTGCTGCTTGTTGTATTATTTAAGGCGACCTTGAGTGTATGAAAGGCGCCATCAAATAAAATGTTTTTATCATTATTATTATAGTTTATGTAAAAGAATCACTGTTAACACAGTCAAAAGAACGAAGTTAAAATTTTGCCATTTGCTGTTTTAATTGTCCACATTCAGAGACCTGAAAGAATTGCAGCTGTCTTGCAATTTGCTCATGAAGACGTGACTTGTCCTTCAAGACTTGAGACTGAACAACTAGGTTTTACAAGTGAAATTTGAACACAATTTCTTTTTATGAGAATGAGTTAATATAAAAGAAAATTATAGTATTTGTTCATTATTTAACAGCATCATTGCCTCTTACTATATTGTCCAGTATGTGTGTGATACAAAATGTTAAAGGAGAGTTCAGGTACACTGATAAGCATCACAAAGCCGACATAGACGATAAACTTTCAAAAGTAAGTGAATAAGCCATTTGCGTGTGTAGGTTTGGAAAGAAAACAGAAAGCATTCTTCACTTGTCACAGGAGAAAATACGGGTTTTGTTTACTGATACCATCACGCTGATTAGCTTTGAGGAAAATGTTTCCTGAAAACGGGTTTGTTTTTGTTTGTTGTTGAGCAGAGACGAAGGAATTACATGGTGTGCAACAATCTTGCAACGTTCACAACACCATTATTAATATTACAAATAACATAATAACAAATGTGCTGTATTCTTTTAGTGTACATAGCAACATATACACGTAGGGTATTCTACAGGTTAACTGCACAACCTCTCATATACTGTATACTCACAAAACATACATGTTTCTCATGAAATTGCAGGCACTGCCCCTGATGAACTGATCCAGGACGAGGCGTGGCTTCACATAAAAGGAGCAGCGGGTAACTCTGCATCTGTAGATCTGTTTTCGTGCACACGGTAAGTTCACCTGGACAACTCTGCTAAAATATGGAAAGAGCATATATGTGCAGGGGTCATGGTCGTTGTTGGTATAATTTTGAATTGTTGTACATAGCACCTTAACACGCCTTATAGTTGCATTTGCCTAATTTGAATGTTAAAGTTCATTGCCATCTCAGGTGTTTTGTTATACTTTGTGACTTTTATTTGCTCACTGGGGATCTGTGTCTATTATATCATTAACAAATTGTATTTTCTTCAATGTTAGGTTTTGAAGTGCTTTTGAAATGTTTAAACACAAGAAAGGTAAATACCACAGATGCTTTTGGTTCATCCCGACCTCTTTTTCCAAGTGTATTGAATGTATTGGCTGATAACATACTTGACATTTATATTTACCAAATATTTGTATAACTAATTACAGAAGGACACGGACATGGTGATGGCCATGAACATGAACACGAACAGGACCATAAACATGGGCATGGGCATGAACATGGGCATGGACATGGGCATGGGCATGGACATGGGCATGGACATGGACATGGGCATGGACATGGGCATGAACATAAGCATGGACATGGACATGGGCATGGGCATGGACATGAACATGGGCATGGACATGGGCATGGGAACAAGCGCAGGCACAAGCACAAGCTTGGCCACAAGCATGGCAAATGTCACAAGAAGGAGAAGGACTGTCACGGGGTAAGTTTCAACAATGCATTGTTCAGTTTATTCACAACCGAAAGTGAATTTTGTTCAGAGTTCAGAGAAACATGAAGCATAAAATGTTTGTGCCATCCATCCTAATGAAAACTGATCACAGGTTTGATCTAATGTTTTTAAAGGTTATTTCTGGAGGAATAAAACTCATTCAAACTTTTGTCAAAAATTGAGTGATAAGCTGTCATTGCTGATTGAATCATTTTGTTTGTTTTTTTCTTTCCTGTTCATCCATGCTGTAGTCCTCCAGCAGCTCCTGTAGCAGTGACTCTGATTAGATCAAGATTCCTGGATGAGAAAAGAAACAACACAAGTTACCACCGGGAAACCCTCATACTTACTACCTTACGCAAAAATCACAAATGAACTTGAAAAATTTATATTCTCGACCCCATCAAATGTAAACAAGCTGTTGTTAAAACATGTAAAACACACATTACGTTTTCAGTGATTATACAGCATTGTGTCAAGAACTAAGGTAATAAATTTTAAAGTGAAAACAGAAATGAAAGGATTCTTTCTATACATCTTAATTCTCTTTTCTAACTGA